TGCCTATTTCTCGTTGTTCGCTTTGTGTTGCCGCAGTATTCGCCACAGTACTTTTATTCTTTGCCGTACGCATATGTTTACACATCAAATTTCATGAGTACCTAGTACTCACGCCTTTTTTTATTTTATTTATTAACCACTTATAAGAGTTCAACTATTGATTTTCATATTCACAATGCTCAGTTAACAAAAGTTTAAACAAATTAAAAGTTTAAATAATTTTTTTTTGTGGAACGAATTTCAAATTTGAATAGAAAAGTCTTGATTTTTAGAATTTGTATATTTTCAGGCGATATGAATTTCCATAGTTAACTATGTAACTCTGAAGCAGGGCTGCCAACCATACTTGGCTAAGAAGTGCCATATTGAGGATAAAAAAGTGGATGTGCCAAATAGAAAAATAAAAGTGCCAAAAAAGGTGCCATTATTTTTAATTCTTCCCATTTAGCATTAAAATTAGAAACACATTTCTAAAACAAAAATTCAATGCCAAAGTAAGATAATCCAGTTGTATGCACTATAGAAATTAGAAAATTTTAGTTGAGAAAACGAAGTACACGCGAAGGATTTCACAAAAATGTATTGAAATATTACTATTTTTCAAAAGTGCCATTTTGCACTTTGTGCCAAATTGAAAAATTAGGTGACATTTGAAGTAAAATAAATGACAAGGTTTCCGCCAAGTTGGCAGCTCTGCTCTGAATATAAATTCATAGTTAAACTTGTGTTGGTGGTTAAGTTAACAAACGTTTAACTAAGCACGGTGAATCCGGCCCTTAGTCTTGTCTGTATAAAATTTTGCAATAGACATTAAATAATTCAACTTGCAGTGAAAAGAGAACAGAAGACTATGCAAGCGAAATGTTGTTGGCTCACATTTAGTATATACATTCCAGTAGAAATTTTATGCATACGACATCGCTGTTGGTGGCATGAGCTTGCTGCTGTGTATATGTTACCGGCCAAACTCGATCTTAGAACAAACTAGTTTTTCCTAGGCTAAACTAGTTCTACCTAGATCTAATACACTGAAGAGCAAAACTGGAACAATAGAACGGAAAGTTAAGTTTGTGGTAATGTACTTCTTCAGTTTATTTACTTTATGGTAATTCAAACTTGCATTTCGCCTTACCGATGTTTAACTAAACGTTTGACCATACAAATTTTAAGATTCGCATATGGAAACTCAGAAAAAAATGACCAAACAAAAATGAACTGGATTGTTCCAGTTTTGCACCCTCTTAGTATTTGCGGAATTTCATAATTTAAAGAGGAGTTCTGGCCAATTTCCTGCAATTTTGTAATCAAGGCGCTTGGGATTTTCGCTGTGAGTGCTTTAAGTGCACAACCCAAGCAAAAAGAATTTAAAGTTTTTGCAAAACGGCCAGAAAGACTACGCTATAAAGAAAGAAATCATATCGGCCGAATGTCCGTTTTATGGTTATCTAAACAAGCGATAAAAGGGCGGACCTCAGTCTGCAAGATCAAGAGACCACAAAAAATTGCAATTTGCTAGGCTAGGCATACCAAAAATCTTTGGTTCAAAATCAAAAATTACTGCTTTTTCCCCACAAAGCAAGTGACTGGACATTATGTAAGACATGGGAACAAGTTATTGCAGCACAAAGATAAAGAGGAGAAAGCCTGCTTTGACATCCAGAAAAATTTTTTGTCAGAAACGCATTTTTACTAAGAAAAAACATTGGATTTGCATTATTTTGAAGCGGGAATTTACAAGTTCTTCATAAACGACCACATTATTCCACCAAAATTTACTATTGATTAGGGCGCGGCCCTTAATTTTTTAACTCTGAGGATAAAATTAAACGTTTTCAGTCGAAATATTGATTCAAGTGCTGTGTACCTGCATCAGAGATACGCCTAACGTCCAAAAATATTTAAACTAACTATTAGGTTTGTATGTGTACATTTAATGATGTAGGGCCGTGTTACGCCTTAGGGAGTAAGAACTGTGGTAAAATCGACGGTAAAAAGAAAAGTGACAACAAATGAGCATTTTCAAAGAATTTGGCAATTTCTGAGGATATTTTTCGCAGACTTTTATCAATTTTACCAGGACAATGATCAGAAATATCCCCCGAAAGTGGGGCCAAATAGGTATAAATCCCAAGTTTTTATAATTATGGAGTGACCTGCGTAAAGCCCAGAATTGATTCAACAGAAAACTTATGGAATTGTTTGAAAATGCTGCTGTTCAATTACGAAAATTCGCCCAATCGCATGCAAGATCTTGGGCATGGCGTTGAAGAAAACCGGTGCGCGTTCTCAACAGATTTCGTCTAAAACCTGTGCAAAAGTATCCCAAGATGACCATAAAAGCTAAAATATTCAAATTGGTTATGGCCAATTTATTAAAAGTCAAGCAAATGGTAAAATTTTCTGTCGGGTGCAAAACTGGAACAATCTAGTTGCTACGTTTTTTTGCAATTTTCTTCTTTATCTGCTTGTATTAATTATTGTTTTTAAGGCCTTCTGATGGAATAAACATTGGAAATGTGAATTCCAAAACTAGATTACAAAAAAGTCTTCATATATTGCAAGAAAATTTACATTATGTATTACTGTTCCAGTTTTGCTCCTCAGTGTATATCCGTCTAATGCGGAAACAAGTTGGTCGCAACAATATTGTGGACCGCGTACCTGGAGTTGGACTGATGGAGGCTATATTTTTGAAGTGCGGCCGAAGGCCGCCTACGCGGAAGGGTTTCCGCAAAAATACTGTCGCCTCTGATCTAGTTTAGCCTAGGCAAAACTAGTTTTTCCTAAGATCGGGTTTGGCCGGTAACATATATGCCAGTATAAATGAACCTTCATTTCCATTTAACACGTGTGGTTTCTGAGAACGTATGCATACTCTAACCATACACTTGTAGTACTGCTGTATGCATATGGCTGTATTAATGTTTCAAACATACAATCAATGGAACAGTATTCAAGCATTCTTACAAGATACGTATCCCCATATGTAAATGCTACTTTTCTGATACATTTTCATATACGGGGGCATACAAAAAAGTAGCATTTACATATGCAAATGCATATCTTTTAAAAGCCCGCTAGTGCTGAAAATATTATCGCACAACACGTCCGTTCACTAAAATTTTTGTACAAGACTGAAAATATTACAAAAATTCCTCTTCAAATTTATCAAGAAGTGTACTTAAAACAATTGCAATTCGCTAGAATTTGAATTATGTGGAAATTCATGACTACGCATGAGTTGTTCACACTAATTCACTCATACATAATTAGTCTGTTCCTTTGAACTTCGGACTAAAATCTGTGGAACTGTCAAACTACAATTTTACGCTCTCAAATGAGAGTAAAAGGAAAACAGATGCAGAAGTGCATAGGAACGCAAAAAGCACTATTTCCTGTAAAAACGTCAGATGGTTTGTTTACCTGTCATTGGTACTACACTGATTTGGCTGAAATATCACTAAATAATTATTAAAATCTATACATATTCAAATATTTCGTTGTTTACTACCATTTTTTAACAAATATAAGGTTCTTTGCTTTCACCGCTTTCT